TGATTCGAACCCGCGACCCTCAGATTGCGAGTCGAGCGCCCTAACCACCTGGCCATGCCGGGCCGTTACTTTGTCAAGCCTCCACATGATTGCCAATCATTCTTTTTCAGTGGTGGTTAAAGCTTTTTTGCGTGCTAGCAATTTTCGGCTTAAATACAACACCGAATGTTCCATGCCATCCTCACCTATTTGACTCAGCACAATCCCTATAACTGTATCAAACGTATCAGTTTGCAGAATGGTGGATAATGTAGCCTTATATCTATATAAGTATTTTTTTACACATCACCTCTTTTAATTCCCTAAAAGTCCTCTCACTGGCCTCATACTACACAACGCATTTTGGTCCTGGTTTACAGTTTAATACTGCGATTAGGGCTACTGTTTCCTCAAACTCGGTAAAAAATTTCCTGTAATATCCTATTATCCCTTGCTCCCTTTGTCGTAGGTTTCTTCTAATCTCTGATAGCTTTTACCTACATAGAAAATCAACCCTTTACTCACCATGTGAACTAGATACTCTATACAGTCTACAACAAGCTCACATTTACTTGGTTCTGCTATTAAGCTTGCTTTTCTAAATCTGTCTAAATTTGATGACGAGGAATCCACTTTTTAGGAAGTAAAAGTTTCTGGACAGCTTGAATGTATACTTGATGATGACATAATCTTGTCGAAACGTTGTACATTTATAATACAGTTTTCTTCTTTACCCATTGAAACCTTCTCCAAATTTTGATTAATTTTGTATGCCAATGTAATTTATGTAAGCTATGATTGACTCCCCTAAGCTTCCGTAAGACGTTATCCGTTTAACCTATTAAATGTTGCTAGAACATTCTTTGCTCCCATGGGATAGCATTAAACTAAAATAATCCATTAGGTGTGTAAAACATTGTTTTCTCTTTATTCTCTTCTTCTAAGTCGATTTGGAAATAACCTTTTGACAAATAAATGTTACTAATGTACTGTGCTTGACTAACTTCATTTATTATATCCTCCATGTAAAATAAGGGGTAGGAATCGGTGGTAATAACTTCATTCAACTTCCTCGGGTCAACACAAAACCTTACCCCACCAGTCTTCGATATTAACACTGTAGCATATGTATGAGTGAGAAGATTCCTAATTATCCCCTTTTCTTAACATTTTCCCTCACTTACCTTTCAGAGCTTCATTAAAACAGTATGACACTTTATCGCAGCATTACAAGCTACTTTTATCGTGTGCTTAATTAACTAACCACGTCTATCCCGACCAATCATCATAATCTCTCACATGCTTTCTTCTGTTGCTTAACAGTTAATTGTTCAAAACTTTTAAAATGCCTCATCTGCTCATAAAAATCTAAGATAGTTTTCTATTCACTCTTGTTACTGCTAGCTTTTAAACAGGTCATCATAAAAGTTTCAGGTGCGTCTCTAGTGTAACATGGTTGAAGCATATTTACTTAATACGTTTGTTCCACTATTTCTCAACTCCCTACATTTATGTATCTTATATGTCACTTTATCAACATGCTTAATCTTAGAGAAAGGAAATATGAACCTCGCCGCTAAACTATTCTAGGGTACTGATTCCACAACTAAGTAAGTTACCTTCAGTTTTTGTTCTCAAATATTCTTATCACAGGGAAGCTATTATTTGTTTTCTGAGTAGCTTTAGCGGCTGTGCTAAGCTTTGCCTCAATCTGGTTACGTATGTTATCACATTTCATAACTCGGCTTTGTTTCTGGTCCAACTTCTGTGGTGGCAACATATTACCACTACAGCTATTGTATTTTGCAAACAGACATTACTTTCAAAAGTTTAACATTTCATTTCGATGTGACTTTAGCTAGAGCTACAGTATATCGAGCCCCTTCTGCTTTGATGTTAAACCCAATTAAGTCGAATGTATCACCTGAGAGTTGATTATCTTTTACTACTTATTTTCTCATTAGATTTTTCCAACTATTAGTATCATTAACACATTAACGCCTTGCCAATTAATCATCACTTCTTCTAAATATTCAGTTAAAAATTTCACAATATTTTATTCTACCAAACTTGTCAAATATAAAATATTTCAGTGGAGGTTTACAACTTCCCCCTGAGTTAAAAACTCACATATCTAATCTTTTTATTTTATTTTTTACATTTGTTTCTAAATGTTATACTCAGTTCTCTACAGTTATTTATAAACTGACTTTTTATCAGTGACTTTCAATTCTCCTCCATGCTAGCGTTAATTCTCTACTCATAAAAGTGATCCACATAATTTATAACAATTAAACGAATCTCTATCAAAATCAAAACAAACAAAATAAGAACAATAGAAAACTTATTATCTTTTCTGATTTCAATGCTTCTTCCAGGTGACTTTCCTCCTCGGATTTTGTTAATATGGTTCCACCTTCAAAATCCTCCTTCGTCTTTGCGTTTCGATTCCTAAAAAAACTGATAAACCCCTCTTCTGACATCATTTTATTACGAAATGTTATACTCGCACAGCAACTTTATTTATGTTGAAGCTATACTTATCAGGAATTGATTCACATCAATGTAAATAAATATAAAGAATTTATATTTATTTCTAGTAACCAATATCATATAGGTTTTTAGTTCTTAGCGGGTTTATAGGTTTGAATCTCATATCCGACCAGGCCTTCCCTTGTTTTTTTTCTCTCTTTTTCTTGTTGAGCTCTTGTCTTTTTATCTCTTTCTCAACTACATGCAGAACCGGTTCCTTTGTTTTAGACATTGCACCTTATCAGTATATCTGATTATAACGTTTCATAACTATAGGGGGTCTTGTAGTGTTTTTACTTTCTGAATTTGAAAGGTAGCCGCTACACCCGCTCACCCCTCCCCCAGTATATCTGATTATAACGTTTCATAATCATAGGGGGTCTTGTTGTGTTTTTAGATTCTGCATTTGAAAGATATCCGCTACATCCCCTCAACCTAGTAATTTTTTAATCCCTTAGAATAATAAGTTAGCAAACAATTATTAATAAACATAATTAAGTAATTTATTTTTGAGATAACATACTATATGTATCTGCCAAAACATGTGGTATGTTCCCCAAAAACAAATCACTTCATTATGCTTAAAAATCATTTTTTTCCAACTTATTATTATCATATTGGCACAATGTACTTCCTTACTCAAGAATCACAAAGAATTTTGTAACATTTTTATTTCTTGGAGACTGATCAGAGGCAATCCATTTCATAATAACCTCACTTCATAATAATTGATAATTTTGAACTGACAGATTAGTTCAAAGGCAGTTAGTCAACAGGACCCACCCCCCAACTCTTGAGATACACTCCTCTGATTTGTTAGTGGAAGTTCATCGTTACTAAATATGTATGTGTAGAGTGGTATTTCTATTTTAAAGTAGAGCCGTACGGCTTCAGTAAAGTTTTTATTATGTAAATACAAAACGTCGTTTTTAATTATTTATTATCATTCATCGTTACTGTTATAACACGCCCAAAATGCGTAGCAAGATTTTGTGGCGTATAATCGCGAACCATAATTCTTCAAACTTACGATCGGGTACATTAATCACTAGTCCACGCCTTTTCCATATTATAAGCACTATGCATTGTAGGTTTTAAAATATATTATCTATGGTCTTATAAAGTCGTTTGCTAAAAAGCTGATGTAGTGAGAAAACAGCAAAACATAGTCAGTAGAATTCGATGACGAGGAACCCACTTTGAGACTAATAATGGCTGGAGACGGCTTGAATGGGTAATGAAAAAAACTTTAATATAAGTTTAACATAACAGCAAATGTACAACGTTTCGACAAGGGTACCTAATGATGACAAAACCTTGTCGAAACGTTGTACATTTGCTGTTATGTTAAACTTATATTAAAGTTTTTCTTCATTACCCATTCAAGCCGTCTCCAACCATTAATAGTCAGTAGAAGTTATTTAACTACAGCTATTCAAATGGTTGTTTAAGAACTAGCATGGATAAGGAATTTTATGGGCTTCCCCAGAACAATTTAATCGAGTATTCACTCTTTATATGATGCCAAAGAAAAGATAAGACGATTATGTCCTTTTGTTGCTCTGCCCGATAAATCTAAACCTAATCCTAAGCACTTTAACTTCAATGCTAAAGCAAAGTTGGAGAATCTAGAGTTTACCTTCAACACAATGTTTCGCAGCAATTTTTGAATAAAGGAATAATGAGTATTTTTATACTAAAGAAAGTGAAAAATCAGATTTTATTCGCATGGACAAAAACTCTTTTGCTGTTTTTAATGTTGACTCATTTCTATCTTCTTTAAATATTAACATTATTTTTTGTAGTCGGTATCTGACAATTATTAAGGGAACGGGCGGAGGAGCCACTGGAAAAACAAAGCTCGACAAGGAAAGATTAAAATTGTGTCAAAGAGAAATGGTAAGAGTTTACAATAAAATATAGTGTTTTATAAGTTCGGTGACTTCCAGAAATAAAATAACGAAATTTCTTACATTATTTGTGTTACAAAATCACCGGTTAGATATGTTTTCCAAACATTAGAATGGTTGT